ATTATAAATGAACACCCTGAAATCTAGAGTTAAATAGTAGCCATAAAAGCTAGAAGATAAATCTTTATACAGTATTTCTGGAGATCACATACTGGAATTTATTTTTTCTTTAAACAAATTAATTTTGTGTTATTGTTAGTGTCCTATAGCAACTACAACAGATTTTGGAAATAGCATTTAATTGTGTGTAAGGTACAGGAAAGAAATGATTCCAGTGATCCAGGAGGAGCAGAGCATGAAATAACAGCATGCTTTTTTTCACTGTCATTTTATCTCAGAGCAGAAGTCTGATAAACCACCCGAAGTAGTGGCTTGAAGCCTATTCCCTGGGAGCCTTGTGAGGACAGCAATCTGCTGCTGACTCCTGAGTGCAGGCAGAGCAGGAATGCTTTCCCTTAATAACACTAGTTCTGTGAATTGCTGCGTGTGAACTCAGCCAGGCCCTGAAGGACAGACTTTCCTGAAAATGACTCCTGCGTAATGTGGCCAATTCAGCCAATTCAAGGTTGTTCCTTTTGGCATATTCTCCATTTCTGTTTATCTCTAAAACGAAGCCTAACAGCAGTCCATTATGCTTCTCTTTGCAGAGCTCAGTGGGCATCATTTGCAAATTAAGAGAGGAAAAAATGAACTCAGAAAGAACAGATCTGGAGCAGGAAGCAGTGGTGTTCTTGTGGGGCACAAGTACAACCTAATACATGAGGATGCTGTACCTTGAAAGAAAACTAGAGCAAAAAACAGGCTAGGAGATTTATCTGAGAAAATTTCTGTTATAACAGCCTGCTCTGGGCTTGTGCTAGCAATCACGTACACCAGAAAGGTGATGTGTTTCATGCTGACTTCCAGGTATTTGCTTTTATAATGCAACATCCTGAAAGATGAGCAGGCTAGAGCAGAGTGAAGGGGGAGAGGGGACAGAATTAGAGCATTTACCTTCTAGTCCCCCATGTTCAGCATGCTTTACCTGCCTGGTTCAACCACCTCCAAGATGCCCCTTGCTGCTGTACCCTTGGCACTGGTGCTGAAGACCTTGGCTCTGTTAGGGTGGGAGCTGCAGGCTGCATTGAGCTGGAGCCCCTCCAGGATGAAGTGTTTGATGCTGATGGCTCTAAGTTTGCCTGAAGTGCTGGTGTGCTGCAGAAGGACACGAAATCTACAGGCTCCAGGCAGAAGGTGGTTAGCTACAAAGAGAGGTGACGTGGGGCTGTGAGCCCCACCTGAATGCTGTGATGGAGCCCAGGTCTGACGCACCTCTGTTTGCTACAAGGACAGAGCTGTGGAGCCACATAACCAAGGCTACTGAGGGCTACTGAAACTGAAGTCTCAATAGCAATATCAGTGTGCTGGTCGACGTATTGATCCCCATGTGTCCAGCTGTGTTGTGTACCACCCATGAAATGGGAAACTGGGGTTCTACAATAATTATGAGTTATTCAGAGAATTAGAAATCACAGATCATCCGAAAAAAAACTAAAAATCCACTCTCAGAAAGAGAGTGGTGAATGTATCTTGCTATCATTAGGAAGTTGAAAGAAACAATTCTAGCTTTAACCTCGAAAGAAAATTGACACTGGTGTTACAACGTATTTGCTGTCGTCACTGGATTTTCCTGATTGTCCCCAGCACAGAAAACAAATGCAAATCACTCTGGGGGCAAGTAACCTTCCAAGACTCCATTCCTTTCTTTCTCTTTCTTTTCATTCCACATTCAAGCCCCAATACTTGCTTTGCAGAGCTTATTACTAGCAGCTGGGCAAGGGACTGGAGAGGATGTTGCAGGAGAAGGGCTGTATTTATTTTTTGCTTCCAAGAAAACAATGTCTCTTTCTTAGCATGTAGTGTCTTAGAGCAACTTCATTGTTTGGTTGCAGGGTGTGGGAGTGAAATGGAGAAAGTAATTTCTGAAAAATCACATCAGAGAGCCCATTTAACTCCCAGGCTGCTGGGGCTGTCCAGCATCCCTCAGAGCTCTATTCCAGTTTATGGTGAAGAAAATAGTCAATACACAGGTTTGCAGCATCTATTTTGGAATGCTGGCATTCAATTGAGAGAAGAGCAAAACAACCCATTTCCATTTGACACCAAATATATAGAAAACACAGCCCAGCAGGAAACGTCTCTCTCCTGTGTGTTAATTTTACCAGGGATTTACCAGGCTTGGTAATGCGCAACCATAATGATCCCAATAATAAAACTTCCAGCTGAGTCAATCTCAGCTTTTGCCCAGTGAAGACATTTTTGTAGTATTGGAGATCTGTATATATTGAAAGCGGCCTTGGTAGATGGATCTTCCACTGATACAGACCTACAGGACAGTGCAGAGCAGCATTTGTCCAAGGACCCTCTGACAGAGCAGTAAAGCAAAAATGCTAAGATGGTTAGGATGCCTCTTCTTCTTTTATTTAATATGCCAGGTGGAATAGCCTCCATTAACTTTCTGTAAATTATTAACTCTTTTTTTCCTAGCTAGTAAAGAAAGGTAACTTTTTCTTCACAATTTCCTGGCAGATATTAAAACAAGATAAAAAAAAATTCGCTTCATACTATAACTCAGTGGGACTTCTCTCCCAAGAATGGAGAGTAGCAAGGCAGGATTAATGTTGATTTTACCACTGCTGCCTTCTCTAAGGGAAAAAGTCCTTGCTGATTTAAGACAATACTTTTTGTGTATGTGGAAATCTTTGGGGAGTTATGCTGCCTGTATTTAAAATCTCTAGAGGTCCAAGTCCCTCGAGACTTTATGGAACACAGACTCAGATTGAAACTCAGAGCATATAATAAAAATATTAAACTGTAAGAATGAAATGAATGTAATCACAATGGCCATTCAATGGCTTCAGCAATTACCTGTTATATACAAGGAACTTTGGACCAGTCTTCATCCAGACTTCACCAGACCTTTCAATTCCACATGAAAATATTGCGTGATTATCTGAGTTTGTTTCCTCCCAGCAGTGCTTTCTTCAAGAATTAGAGTTTAGTAGGATTTTGCGTGCCCTGGTCCATCCTAAGCAACATGTTTTTGCATAAGGAACTTTCAAATGCAGCTTTCAACTGCAAAAAGTGTTTCTCACATAGCTCCAGCTATGTCTGTGTGTGTAGCCCACCAGGGTGAGGGGCAGAACACAGAGGCAGGAATAAACATGGCACAGACTGGTGTTAGGTAGCTTATATAGAGCTGGTATCTGATTTCTGTTAGAGAAAGAAAGTCAAATGTGATATTCATTACCTCACTCACAGCCTGATAAATCATTCTGCATCTCTGCTGTTTGGCTTTTGCCACTTATAGCCCCTCATGACTCCATCCTCATAATGAATAAGTCAATGAATATTTTAAATCTCCAGCTATTATTGCCTGTTTAAATCTTCCTACTTAATGGTTTGTGAGGTTTTCAGGAATTTCTGACTCAGTTCTCTGTGGTTTGTATAGATTTTAGAAAGGGCACAGGGAAGAAAGCAGGTGGTACTTTGTGACAAATTTGTTGATACTGGCATAAATGACCAATTGGAAAAAAATAATTACAATAGTGTATAGGAAAGGAAAAGAGAACAGTGAGTTCTTGAGAAATAGAAACAGAAGAAAGAAGGTAAAGGTAAAACAGCCATTTGTGGAATTCAACAGTAGAGAGGTTGAGCAGCATTGAGGTAGACACAAAGGAATATTAAGGTAGAACACTTAATGCTGGTAAGGATTTGTACAAAAAGAGAGAAATGCTAAGAAGTTTGGGAGGTGAACAAGGGCCTGGTTTGCATTTTCGCTTCAGGGAATAAGCAGTCAGATGAGATGTTGAGGGAAAAAAAAATCAACAGAGAGCAGGGAGTACAAAGGACAAGCAAGAGAGCAGTTCTGAAACAAAGCAGTATTGACATTTTTGCCCTTCTCTTCTTTGCAGACAAATCAGGAAAATAAAATGATTGCTTCAGAGCAAAACCATGACTAAATGAGAGTAACAGTATACCCTCAGTGCCTGAAGCATCCCAAGGTACAGGACAACAGAGACTGCAGTGTAAAAGGACCTTACACAGCAACGTGCAACTCTGTAGTAGAGTTTCTGGGCCCTGGGACTTCTGCTTTAGTCCTATGAAATGTTTAATCCTATGAAATGAAATTTTGCTTACCCACTTCCTCATTGCATGGAGCTGAATAAAATGAATCAAGTTTCTGTTCAGTTATTTGCTATTAAGGATGGTTTCTATACAGTTTCTAATGTCTGGGAGGTTTGACATTTCAAGGACATCCCAACATGCTGCTCAAAATGTACCATGCAGTTTCAAAGGCAGAAGAGATGTTGGAAACATGTTCTTTTCCAAGAAACTTTTTACAGCCCTATGCATGTTCTCAGTTCTAACAGCCATTCTCATTCTCTCAAGTATTGAAATGTCCCCCCAGTCTCCTCTTCTTTAGGCTGAACAAACCAAGTGGTTTCAGCCACTCATAGCATGTCCTATCCTCCAGAACCTTCACCAAATCTGCTTTGGCACACTGCTTACTCATATTCAACTTGCCATCAACCAGAACCCCTAGATCCCTTTCTTTGGGGCTGCTCTCCAGACTCTCATGCCCCAGTCAGTACACATATCCAAGGTTGCCCTGTCCCAAGTGCAGAATCCAGCACTTGCTCTTATTACACTTCATTCAATTGCTGATTGGTCTAGTCAGTCAAGATCTCTCTGCAAGACCTTGCCACCCTTCAGGGAGTAGGCAGCTTCTCCTGATTTAACATCTGCAAACTTACTTGGTATGACTTCAAGTCCTGCATCCAGATAATTTATAGAAATGGTAAAAAGAACAAATTACAGATGGTGAGCCTTATTGTTAACAACAAAAAAATTCGTATGAAATATTAGAAAAAAAAAACATCCACAACCAATGAAAGAAAGAATCTGGAGAATCTTCATTATGGTATCTAACAGTCCCTTTATCTCAAAGAGGAAGCGATAGTACTAACAAACAAAAAGAGAAGGACATTCACAGATATCATATCAATATCAAAGGTATTAGTCTCTTTGACTGAAGAAAAAGGTAATGTTTTTTTACAAGAAAACAAAATCAGGCCTGGGCTCTAAATAAATGGGATGTTCAGTGGAAGAAATGTTTTACTACAGCTGCTAAGCTGTACTGAACATATGCTTTTTCTAACACACAAAATCTGTGTTTCCACTGGAAACTGAGGCAAAATACCAGGGGAAAGGTGTCCTCCAGCTTTTCCTCTCTGTTCCCTCATGAGGTTTCTACTGTCAATCACATTTGCTCTTCATCTGATGGGATACAGGTGCTACTACAGTCATCTTCTCATCTCCTGCTTGACCGATCTCTCCTCCCTGGAAGTTGGAACACAAACAGTGGAGTTAAAATGAGTGAAAATGAAGGGAAAACTGTGTTGTTGTTCTTTTTTTGTTTTATTTTCTGGGATTTGCAGATGCTACGACAGGCTGCCTTGGTTAGAAAACATCAGAAGTGTAATCATATTAATAGAATCATTTTCTTATGCATGTGGAAATGCAGATGATGTATCATTTACAAGTGAATGAAGACTCAACATTGGCAACTGCTGGACTGCATAATATGGTCATAAAATGCTTCAGTTATAATGAGTCTAAGAAATTATTGCACAGCTGTAACACAACTGTGGAGATTGGTAGAGAGCTTCAATAGAGTTTTAGGTTCTCCGTTTTTAAAAATACCTTTCATCCTCAATGCAGCCTGATTGCATACGGTAGCTGGCATGAAGGCAAGAAGCAACTACAGAAAAGTCTTGTAGAGAAAACGCTAGCATTTTTGGATGTGCTGACAATGTATCTTCAGGATGTAAAGAAATTCCAGAAGGCAAATCACAGGGTGAAAGACAGGACCATGGTATAGACTTTACTCAGAGATGGAAATCTAAAGAAATCAATTCCTCCTTTCCCCGAGAATTTATGACAATATTTTTCATGTTTTCTTGGCTACCTCAATCAGAGTTTGATCATAAGTAGAGATAAAGAGTCTGTGGAGTCATCTGTCCTGCTATGATGGCTTGTGTTTTGTTACTTCTGCCCTCCGGTAGAAAAGCAGGATCTAGTTCTTCATTGCAGGGGAGTTGGACTAAACGACCTTCCAACTTAAATGGTTCTATCATCAAACTGATGACATAGGACACTAGTCCTGTATGACTGGGACAAAGACATTTGGGAGGGATATGGTGGGTAGATCTGCCCGTATAGGGAATATTTTATTTCCCTCTTTACTCAAAGCAAGAAAATTATTTCCCAAGACATATATTCATTCATATAAAACTTCCTCTTGGCAGTTAACTGAATTCTGGTCCAGGCTAATGTAGTAGGTTCTCCCAGCCATGGAAAATCCCTGAAGTTTATTCTTAAATGTGTCTCCAAGAGAAGGAGACATGACAGCTGAAGAGGCACACAAGCAACAAATTGACTTTTACAGGGAGAAGAAAAGAAGGCATCATCCCAGTTTTTATACTCAGTATGACCAGCGCTCCCATGCTATCGGCACACACAAATAAATCTATATGAATTGCACAATAAAGCTTTAGTGGTAAGATCTGCACTAGTTTGGTCATATCCTCACCTGATATTAATCAAAACTGTACAGAGCATATTCTCTAGCTGAGCAGATTTACTCTGGTAGCAGATTCAGCCCCACGTTTTTTGCTTGGCTTTGAGATTATGACATATTAGATTTATTGGCTCATTTGCTACAATAAATGAGAGGTTCTGCACTGAGACACATTCAACGGCAGAGCAGTGAATGGACTGGCTGAGAAACAGGACAGGAATAAAGACAGAACATTCGTTCTAAAAGACAAAACCCAGTCCTCATGCCTCTCCTAGTTCATCATTACTGCTTACCACATCCTGTGAAAATACTCTGCTTTAAGACTTGAAACGAGCAAAGGCATTTTTTCCTTAAATGGGAAGTGTTGTAATGAAATGGATTTGACAATCTGTGAAACACATTGTAGAGGTTTATTGAAGTGGACTAGCTGAAGGGAAAGGGATCATCTAATTCCTGTGCTAAGAACTGAAGCATGAAGTGTGCAACAGATTACATAGATGCTTGTACAGGATATAACAGTGCTTGGTTTTACAGTTACCTGCTGCTTTGTATTGAGATCTCCAGATGTGAGCTGGGAATCATGAAAATTTGAGGAACTTGTGTCAGAAAGTGTAGGCTCCTGAAAGAAAGGATTAAAAATATCTTATTTATTATGTACTTAAGATCATAAGTGTATATAGACAAATGAGGCATGATGACTTTATGTGTGAGAATAATATGAAGTGGGGGAACAAAATGACTGCATGTAACAAATGAGAAAAATATTTTTCTCATTTAATTCCTGACTCAGAATTTAAATTTTGTTTTTGGAAGACCATTAGCAAGTGGCACTTCAGTAAGGATGAAACCTGCCTAAATTAACAAGTTTCAGAGGTAAGGTTTCACAGAATATTTTGAAGCATCCAGAGCTAGGCACCTATTACTCTTTTAAGTACAATGCTTCTGGTACCATAAAATGATTTATACCATGTTCTGGTATTTACAGTTGCTGTGACAAACAGTTTTAGGGCATACAATAAAGCTTTTTTATCAAAGCTGGCTTTACATGTCTGCTTGCAGTCATAAAGAGCAATGTGTGGAAACATCCCCCTCAGTTCTCCCCAGAAGGCACAGGACAGCGTGTTCAGTACAACACTTGATGGTAGCAGTGGGATATGCTTTTGGATTATCAGCTTGTAATTAAGGGAGTTTTTAATGTTGTAAAGGAATTGTCAGCTCAATCTATAAACCATTCTTATCTTTAATGGACAAAAATGCACCCTGCAGAAGAGAAAATACATACTGTTATAGTGTCAGTTCCCTAACTATGAATCCTCTCCACTATTTCTCCCAGTGGAAAGTCAGAAAACCTCCTCAGTAAGTATAGTGGGTTTACAACACTGCTCAGGTTGCCTGTTCTTTGCCTTAAGTCCACACACGTTTTGTTTGTTGTATGGGAATCTGCCCACTTCTATACTCTTGAGGAGGCTACACTTTGCATTTTTCAAACCCTAAATACATTTAAAATATTAAGTCCAGTGCACTCTTCTGAACTACTCAGTTTTGCTTTGGCCTCTTGTAACCAGGGACATGGATGTAAACCATTCAGGCAACCCTACAGGGCCCACGAGGCAGGATAATCTCACTTAATCACTGCTTCCAGCTTTGCTAGTGCTTTGTTTACTGACACTGGACAACAATTTGCTAACAGCTAATTGTTTCCTGGAGTGTGGCAAAGCCCAAGGAGATTTTGTTACTAACTGGAAGGATGGGAGTGTAACTCAGTGACCACAGATAACTGGTAGATGGTGGATAATTCTCAGCAAAGCAAAGGGGAAAAACAAGGAAAGTCAGGAAGCCTTCATACCCTTGACATTAAGGAAGGGTAATCAATTGATGAGAAGGATCACTTGCTTCCTAATAGTAATTAGTTGAAAAAATGGAGAGCAGGGTGACTTCTCCTGACAATTGGGAAACTGCACCACAAAGCCCATCCATCTCAGGTGCAGTTAATTAACTTTACTGCCCGCTCCCTCACAAACACCTCATTCAAGGAGGAAATGAGATAGCAAGTCTTGTTGTGTCTTTGTAACCTTTCACCTTTATTTATTTTCTCTTCACTTTGGCTGTGGTTCAGTTGACACTATCCACCTTACTCACTGCATAATTACCTCTTGGATACAGTCATTAAATATTGCGTGGGATTTGAAGGCCTTACTTGCCTCCATTATCCCAGAAACTAAGACAACTTTTCTCACTATCTCCTACCATCAGTATGGTAAACTCTCCTACCAACAGTAAGGAAAACTCTACTGCCTGGTGCTTATGTTCAAATAAAATATGTGCATTAGTCTATCTTAAGGATTTTGCAGAGAGGCAGGCATTATGGACGTATTTTTTCATCTTCCAATGGAAGAGATTGTTCAGTTTGTTCAAAATATAACAAAGGAAATCATTTAGATCACCGGGAAATTGAGCAAATTGCTTTTCCTACAATTTTTCTATTTCTCCTTTTTCTGCCCCTACATGTTTTCTAGTCCTGTTGCTCCAAAGGCTTTTTAAAGCCTTTGTACTTTTTCAAACATTAGAAGTACTAAATTGCATTTTAATTTTGGCTTTTCAGAGCTAGCTGAAGTACCTGAAGTTAGAAGTTGTGCAGTAACTCTTTCAATTGTGCATTCTGCTTTTTTTTTTTTTTAATAGTTGGGAAAATGACAAAGAAAAGTCAAGAAGTGGAATAACCACATCCAACTGCAACTGGATTATTAGTAGCAAATATTAAGGAGAACAGTTATTTACTCATTTCTAAAAAGCCATTTACCAAATCTTACTTTCCTCTTCCTACAATCTTTACTAAATCAAATATTTCTCTTCTCTTTTTCTTTTTCCTTCTTTTTCCCCAGGAGGAGTGAACAGTGGGTATATCCTTAAAAGACATGTAAAAATATACTACTCACATGAAATATCCAGGTACCAACCTAAGGGCAGTACTAGCAGGGTTTCTAAGTAACACTGGAATCTCCATCTGTGAAATCTCCTATGGGACTATTCAAAGCCTGATTGGACAACGCAATGAACCACCTGCTCTGACTGGGGCTGAAGTAGATGCACCTGAGGTGCCTGCTAGCCTTCACCATTCATTGAGCCTACTGCAGAGGCAACATTTGCTAAGGAAGAGTATCACGTGTGTGGAGGCAGTTGGGCCTCATTATCAGTGTGCCCCATACACTTTCAGTGGCTGTTTCATAAGAACGTAGTGGTCTGAAGTGCAGAGAGCTGCATGACTTTCCCAAGCAAGGAGCAAGAGGCATTGGGTGGAAGGACAGGGAGCTGGATCTACATTTCTAGAAGACCTCAGGATTCCCTCCTTCTGCCTGTCCCTGGCTGCTCTGTGTGGACTGCTGTCCTCCTCTCAGGGCTGGAGTATCATAATTCAAAGCCTATGCTTGCTGCCAAGCCTCTGCTGCCCTGAGACGCCGTTTGTCCCCAGCAGAACCAAAGAGAAATAACTCCACTACAAGTACATTAAGCACATGAACAGCTCTGACAAGAGGCACAGCAATATTTTTTTTGGTAAGCTGACTTATGCTTTATTGAATTCATTTACTGGTTGTCCAACAGCTCCATCAGGTGCTTTTGCAGTAGCCAGACACAGTGGCATGACCTCAAGTCTGGAGTGATTCATAAGGTCCTCCCCACTTCTTTACTACAGAGGTAACAGGAAAATCTTCAGCAAGCAGGGTACGTGACTGTGTCAGACTAAACATTAGTGCTGTGCAGACTAAACATCAGTGCCGTGCAGACTACACAGTCACATCATTTTAGTGGGAGCAGCTAGGTGTATCTGTGCCAAGCTTTATCAGGCTGATGTCCTCTGGACATGTTAGAAGGGCTTACCAGTTTGATGACAATGGCAGGAAATACAATTGGAATCAAATTTCAGCATTGTTCTCTCGCCAGGTGTAAAGCATCATGAATGCAACAACCTGCAATATCTCACATTCCTTTTTTTTGTGTGTGTTCAGATTGAATTGTAGCATATCTTTAGCTGCACTGATGTGGTATAATGGATTGCAAATTCACTAACAAAATATTGAAGAAGTGGACATTTTGTCATAATGACTTTGCAAAGTGTGAGAAACAAGTCAGCAGAAGTCTACTTTTCTACAGGGAAGCTTGAGAAAAACACTTCACTATTGACCACACGTACAAAGCAGTGATGGTAAATAAACCATAATACAGAGAAATGTTGTTATGTTTTGTGAGAGATGAAGCAAATGTTGGCTGGTTTCTATGGACTCAGCATCGCAGTGCAACATACACACGCAAAAAGTACTGTACAGAATAAATGGAATGGGAATAACTAATGAATATCACAGATGAGAGACAGAGAAAACTTCACTGCACCATTGGATAATGTTTGGGTACTTGCTAGTGACAGATGGCCAGCCATTTCATCTGTATGTGTGTCCCCCTTGATGGAAGACTGTTTGACAGCACACGAACAGTTACTGCCTCTTCTTTGTCATCTTGCAGCATTCTTGTAGCTTGAGGGGCCTGTGTGTGTTTAATCAATCAAGCAGAAATTTTATGAGGCAGGTGCTTAAGAGTGTGGTAGGAGGAGAAATAAAACTAATAAATTAAAGTCAGTTCCAGTTACTCTTAATCACAGGCACTCTTAAGCACGGGCACAGACTGAGATCACTTATCTGTTCCTAAATGACCTGGATCTTGTATTACCATCAGTGCTGACGACACTTGTGGTGTTAACTGGTAGCATGCAGAGGCCAAATAAAGGAACACAACAACTTAAAACCATGTATGGCCAAATTTACTCCGCAGTGGATGCCAATGGAAAGGCGCAATGTGTGCTGAATACCAGAAAATTAATTATGAGCTGAAATACTTTTCAGGCCAATCTTGAGTTGTTCTGTTGCCTAGACCAAATGTTGCAAGTGGTTGGAGGTGGCTGGAGGCAACAAGGTGACTGGAGGTCTCTCTTTGTGACAGTCAAGCTCCCAGAGACACAAGTCTGACTGGGGGCACTCTGGTGGCAGGGTGCAAGTTGGTCCACAACTGTCTCAGCCCCTTTCTCCTGGGTAAGGGCTTCAGCATGTTATTGAGAAGTCTTCTGAGCATTACTTCAGCTACATTTTTTAGGAGAGTGCAGAAACCAAGAAGGGCAAACAGTTACTGGGAAAAAATTCAGGGCTATCACAGCAACTTAGACTCAGGTGAACAGAGGCCTGCTAATGCACAGCTTTGCCCTCAGCATCTTCTTTTGCCTGAGACCCCTTTCTGCAGAGTGACTCTGTCCTTACATGTAGGCTCTGAGTCCCTCTCCTACTGGACTATAGGGGAAAGACCCAAGTCCTTATTACAGCATCTCATTTTCATTCCTTCACAGGTAAGCGCACCCTGTTGCTGTACAGGTAGTGTGTTGCAACCATTTTATTCTGAAGGCAAATCAATATATCAGGAGAGCTGCTCCACTGCATGTTCTCTATAACCATAAAGATGCACATGGTTGTCCTCTCTGCAGAACCCTGAGATTCCAGCTTTGATTAGCTGAATCTAGAGCCTATCAAATATTTTTTCTAGCCAGTAGTTTTTGCCTCCCTATTTTTTAGCACGTCTTCCTCTGTTCCCACAGGAATTTGGTCTTATTTGTTGAAATGTCTCCTGGCTGGACCATCTCCAGACATCATCTGTAAGGCTGATTAATTATCAGGGAGATCATCACAATTCATAATAAGTTGTGCTAATTACATGTACCCTATGAGTATTTTCCTCTCATTTGTCTTGTGAGTGTTCATTCTGCAGATTTATAATGAACATGACAACTTCAAGTGAAACCAGGCTTGTGGATGTCAGAGAAAGGCATGGGGGGATTGGGCTCTTAATTAAAACTCATATTTGTTTGGAACTACTAATGTAATGTTACTACTCGTTTTGCTTCTGAAAAAGACTACCTATTAAAAATGTAGTATTCCCAAGAGAAAAGACACTGAGGCATGCTGTTAGCCCCAAAATAATCACTTAGTATTAAAAACTATTTCATGTCCACACTGAATTAAATAGTTTATGAAAAATACAAACCTGTTAGATCTGAAGACCAATTCCCTCTTGTGCAGGCAAATGCAAATTGCTTTTCTCTTTTGCCTGAAACAAAGAACTCATGTCAACAGTTTTCTCTGCCCAGCTGGGCTGGGCCTGCAGTCTCTCACTAAAACTTTCTATGAGCATCACAAATAACTTTTTTTGTAGCCAAGAAGTACAATAAACTTTGTAGAGAATGGTCATTTATCAGAAGCACCTGTTTTGGTCATTGACAACTTCACTGGCTACTTGAGAATCTATAGTCTGGAAGTCGAAATGGTTTACTTATATTTTTGAAGGAGCATCACTCGCTTCCTACAATCTAAAAAATAGTATTTGTGGGTTTGAGACAAGCAATGTGTGCTCTGTCATCAGTGGACTTTAAGCTACACATCAAGGCTGCAGCAGCTGGTGTTTCGGAGAAATAAACCTTTCCTTTGGGCATAAGAATTCTACTGGCTGTGAGGCTTACAGGTTGATTGGAGATGGATTTATTTTGGTTGTATAGATGTGTGTGAGGGCAATTAGCTCTGATAGCGCTAACTTTATGTTAAAGCAATCCCAGTCCTTTGTATTTATTTAAAATCCCAATAGGCTTGAGTTCCTTCTTGCACTGCTTTTCTGATACTATTTTCATCATTCTTTATAATAGCTTAGCTAAGTTTCTAATGAATGTGTAAGTTTCAATAAGGTGCCTTGTGCTGCTCCAAAAAAACCCACGTGAAATTACTGTTGAGTTGTTTTTCCCTAGCAATTCTCCCTCCTCAAGTAAGTTGATTAACCTTAGCACTAAAACAAAAAATCATTTCCAATAAGAAACAATTTCTTTCTTACTCAAAACCCTGGGATTTCAGAAATTACAAAGATCAAGATGATCTCTTGTTAAATAGCTCTAAAACGCCTCCCTGCCCCTCCCTTTTTTTTAGCCCTTTTCATATCCCCAAAAGAGCTAATTACAGCCCATATAATTATTTCCTCATTAGTTCATGACTCCATGACTCAGGTGCCATCTCCCATTAGTCAACTTGACCTGCCATGCATTTACATCACAATAGCATAAAATTGTAATTGCAAATAATTTAGAAGTCAAACAGTTTGTCTCTTGAAACATCACTTTTGCACATCAAAGTGACTTTCTTTCTGGTTAGTCTAAATGTGTTGCAGTAGTGACTGGCTGGTTGGAAGGTACATACAATCTGATTATCAAAACTCATGTATTTTTATATAAAAATAGGCCATTCAGATAGCTTGCTGCCTTCGATGCTAGCAGATTCTGGTTTCTGGGGCTACTGCTTTTGTAAACATGGATTCTTCTTTAACTAATGCAAGAACAATTGCTAAAATGAAAACCTTTCTATAGAAAGCAACATATGCTTCATGTCATCAGCTGTTCATTCCCAGAAGATCAAAACCAAACCACCCTTTCTTCAGTAGAGGTTTCTATGCAGTTCAGCTCTCCCACCAGTAGCTGACTGGTTTCTGGACCTGCCCTTGCTGCAATGCCTCTCTGTACTCTTGCTTTCCCACTTTATTTCTACCAAGAAGAGGAGAAATTCTTAAACAAAATTCACAGAACTGCAACAAGCCAACAGTGCTTCCAGATGCCTTTCTTTTCTCGTTGGTATCAAGCTGAATAAGAATAGTCAGCGAGTTTGGTGACACACATACTTAAATCAGAATAATTTTGCTTATCCAGTCTGTTTTTATGACCTTGTTGACATTCTTCTGGAATTCAGTTTTTCTGAGGGAGAGACTAGTGGTTTTTTTTTTTTTTTTTTTTTTATGCAACAGCTGTACTTTTTCTTCTAAAAAAAGACAGCATGGTCCTTATCCCTGGCTATTTTTGAACTACCTAAGTCTCACTTGTCATCTAAAAATAAGTTTCTAATATTCACACGTAGTACACAT